TATGTGGATGACTTAATTTTGTTTTTGGCAGACGCAGGACCATCACTTAGGGAGGCGCTGAGGATTCTTGAGCAGTTCTCTGTGTTTTCTGGCTTGAAAGTGAACTGGGCCAAATCCCATATCCTGCCTCTAGATGATGGCACAGTAAGCTCAGCTGATGGATCAGTCCCTCTACAGTGGGTCTCACAGATCAGTACCTTGGAATTAAGATCTCGGCTAGGGTGGGTGACTACCACTCCCTGAATTTGGCCCCGGCCCTTACACCGGTTAAGGCGCGGCTGCTGGCTTGGAAGCACTTGCCAATTTCCATGATAGGGAAGGTTAATCTGCTTAAAATGTAGGTTCTCCCGGTTTTGCTGTATTTCCTGCGCAACTCCCCGGTCTGGGTGCCTGCAAGTTTTTTCCGGGGGGCGACTGGCATGTTCCCGGGACTTCGTTTGGGGCTCGCAGGTACCGAGACTTTGGATGGCTATCCTGCAGGCGCCTTGGACAGGAGGGGGACTGGCACTACCTGATATGAGGAAATACTATCTGGCAGGACAAATGGTAGTTGTGCACAGGTGGCTGGTGGGAGAGGACAGTGACTCTGCGGTGGTCTTGGAGGCGGCGAGCCCGAGCTTCTATGAGGCCTTGTCATCCCTGGTGTATAGGGGATGTGGGGCCTGTATGACCTCACGCTCTCCATGCGGGCTACCTTGAAGGCGTGGAAGCAGGTATCGAGTGCACTTGGGGGAGGACAGTTGACTGTGTCACCGCACACTCCTCTGTGGAGGAACCCAAATCTGGCACACTTTCATACTATCCCGGATTGTCAGATCTGGTCCGGGAGGGGCATCAAAAAATTGGAGGACATACTCACTGCTGGGCATATCATGAGTTTTGCGGACCATGCATCAAGTTTGGGCTGCCAGGATCCTTTCTTTTCTGCTATCTGCAACTCTGCCATGCCTTCTGAGCCCAGTTTACAACCACTTTGAGAGGCTTTGGTGCCTCCCCCCTGGAGGACATGCTGAGGTCTCAGGGGCTGCGTAAGCCCTTGTCCACAGTGTATGGCACTCTGTTTCCTGATAGATACAACCCTCTAAGTAGCTGTGGGACACAGTGGCGTAGTGAGGTACAGGATCTGGATGAGGAGGAATGGAGGGAGGCCTGGGACTATCCATTCACACATTTAATTTCGGCCAGGGATAGACTAATACAGTATAAACTGTTGCACAGGGTGTACTATACGCCGGCGAGACTGGCCAGGATATATAGCACAAGCTCAGCGACATGTTGGAGGTGTACCTTTTCCCCTGCGGGATTTAGCCATGTGTTCTGGGACTGCCCGGCTATTAAAACCTATTGGGTGGAGATCGCGAACTTCATATCACAATTCCTGATGATAGACATCCAGCCGGAGATGGGAGTCTGCTTACTGGGTCTTACTGAGCATATTACATCTACCCATGCCACTAGCACACTGTTAGGGATTTGACTGTTTTATGCTAGGAAACTGATAGTGTTGCACTGGAAAAAGCCAGCCCCGCCCACCCTGGAAAATTGGAGAGGGTTAATAGAATCTGTTATAAAGCAGCATACATTCATTGAGCTTGCCCACAAAAGTTTTATAAGGTCTGGGGACCCTGGTTAGAAGCATTCTCTGCGGTACTAGTCAGTGGATAGCGTGCATTGAGTACTGTGTACTTTCTTGCCTGTGTGGCTGTGACGGGGCAGGGTATGGTATAAGGTGTTGATTGAACATATGTATGATGTGCCTCTGAGTGTTGGAACTCAGGTGATAATTGTTTGTTCTGTACTGTCTGTTTTATATGAAACTTAATAAAAACAATATAGAAAAAAGAATATTTAAAAAGGAACGCATCGTAGTTTTGGGTCAATGCATCTCCAATCTCCATTAAAGGGGTTTTAATGAATTTCAGTGACCCCACTGAAGAGATTTGCCATCAATTCCAGTCCTTACAAGGAATGAGGACACAGCTACCCAATGGTGTTCCAGGTGAGTTATTCAAGTTATGGAACCAGAAGGTTCAGCATTACAGGCAGGCAACTGGCATTTTCAGAAAAACAGCTCTGTTAATGATCACAATCCTTTCCTCATAGGATTTTGTGTATATTTTAATTTGATCTAAAGACAAAATATGTTTTCTATGTTTGGATGAAGCAGGCAAGGACTAGAACTTGTCTTTTTTCTTTTCTTTCTAAAGGTAGCCCTACATTGTATGATTTTATTTCCTGCCACGCACCCTCGTTCGATTATACCCTGACTCAAGCATAGTCAAATGTCGATTTCAGAAATCGTTTTTCTAGCCATACTAACCAACCAATTTTTGATGAACTACCTAAATAGTTTCCCTTTGCGCATTTATGCTGTGTTCTTGCTGAGATTTTTTGACGAACATCGATTTTCGCTCAATCAGAGAAAAATTTTCCAACCAGACAGATTGAAAAAAATTGATAATAATGTACAGGCACCTTAAGTCCCGAGTGGGGTGATTCACCTTCTCTCTTTGTCCTGGAGACCATTATCACAGAGACACAAAGTGATGGGAAATCCACAATATTACAGCTGGCTCCAGAACAGGGATTCAAAGGAAATCTTCTATTAGAGCGCCTGTTCTGTCACAGACAACAACAAAAAACTGACAAAAGCTTTAAAGGCATAGTCCATCTCCTGCAAAAATAACATAAGTTCACTCGCATTGATAAAAGATCCCTGTGAATGGATGACACAGCAATATGGGCAGAGCCGTACACAGGTGCACTGAATTAAAAAAAAATCAACAGGACTCTGCAGGCAGTGGAACCCCACAATTCAGGTAAGTGGGGATGGGGCATATTTCACCCTAAATATGGGTGTAACATGAAACATGGCTGGAAAGTTGAACTCTGCCTTTAAACAGGGCTATCCCTAGCCTTTTTGCCACCTGAGGTGGCGAGGAGGGGGGAAAGTGCATCATACTAACTAGGAAGGGGGTGTGGCTTGCCCAGCTCCTGGCACAGTGATGTTATTGGTTGCCAGGAGCTGGGCAGGATGCTGGCCAGAGAGTTCCAGGCTGCTATCAGCTGGGTGGGGATATATGTATGACCTTCCACATCTCCCTGCCTGACTCTTAGCAACACAAGACGCTCCGGCTGGAAAGGGGGCAGCAGGCATACTGCAAACATTGTGCACCAGAGCAGCCATGCTGCTGTGCCTGCCGCCCCCCCCCAGTGACCCCAAGAGAGCAGGCTGCCTCATTATAGGGACAGCCCTGCTTTAAACCTTGGTCACATAATGTGGGGTGAGTGCCATGCAGGAATATTCTGGGCACAGGTTTTTTTCTGTCCTGATGCACCTCGGGGAGCGGTCCCACACTTCTAACATATTCATCTCAGTTCCCAAGACATTGTCACTCTTGCCCATACTTAACACACCCACCTTCTGGTTGGCCCCACCCAGGTCACACCCACTTTTTAGATGGCCCTGCCCAGGTCACACCCACTCTCCTTTATTTTATGCAGGAAATACCCACTCAGGCCCCGTTCACATATAGCGACATACCTTTTGCAGCGGATCCGCACGGCCGGGATAGCGCGACTTTCGGGGCGACGTTCCAGCGACGATCCAGCAACGGTAGCGCGACCTTCCCCGTCGGGCTCCATAGAAAAAAAGCAAAATCGCGCAAAATCCGCCGAAAAAAGGGTCCGGTAGAAGCGACTTGCGACCGCGACGAGCGACGCGCGACATGGAGTTAAGACAGCTCCATTGAATAACATTGGCCGGCGACTTCTCGCGATATCGCGCGGCAAAAATGCACGATATCGCGGCGGAAATCGGGCGACAATTCGCTATATGTGAACGGGGCCTCACTGTTAAGATCCCTTCAATTCAGCGTTTCTTAACCTTCTGAAAGTATGCAAAATCTCAAGGCAACCCAAACTAAAATGTAAAAAAATGATATGTATTTCCCCCAAAATTCATACCCAACCCTTATAACAACAGAAACAAAAAAGGCAATGTGGAGTTTCCCCTGTCACATCAGAGTCCCATCCCGTCACATCAGAGTCCCATCCCCTGTCACATCAGGGTCCCATCCCCTGTCACATCAGGGTACCACCCGCTCACAACTATCCCCTGTCACTTCAGGGTCCCATCCCCTGTCACATCAGAGTCCCATCCCCTGTCACATCAGAGTCCCATCCCGTCACATCAGAGTCCCATCCCCTGTCACATCAGAGTCCCCCCTTTAGCTAACATTTGAAGGCACCCCTGACAATGCCAGAAGGCACCATGGTACTCTGGTTGAGAAAGACTGCCTTGGTTAATACCGATCTTTGAGTAGCTGAAAATGCTCAGTATCACAAAAGGGTGATGATGTGATCTTGGGGAATCATGGGGACAGAGCACCTAGATCTGGGACTGTCCTGGCAAAACTGGGACAGTTGTCATCTATGTGACCCATAACAGCCTGGGCACAGAGGAGCAGGGCTGGATGACACTGACCATTCAACCAGGAAGACAGAGGCCATCTTGTGCTGTGGGGCACATCTTCGGATTAAAGGGGAGCGTTGCGGCGCATCTTCGGATTGAAGGGGAGCGTTACGGCGCATCTTCGGATTGAAGGCGAGCATTGCGTTGCATCTTCGGATTAAAGGGGAGCGTTGCGGCGCATCTTCGGATTGAAGGGGAGCATTACGGCGCATCTTCGGACTGAAGGGGAGTATTGCAGCAGGCGCTGCTCTTTTAAAAAAAATATTGTCTGCTCACTTTCTTTTTGAACAGGCGTTCAGCTTTACATTCAATTCTCCAGCCATGACAATACAAACGTTTCAGCTTCATCTAGAATGTAAGAGAATCAGGAACTGAACTCGAGCAGGTTAAACGGTTTAGAAGTGACATTGGAGAAGATAAAGTCCTGTCAGTCCTGTACACACAGATAAGGACGCCCACACATTGACCTCCATATTCAGAACAAGCCCCGCCCCTCAGGGGGAAGGCCCCGCCCGCCTCTCCCGCATTCCACAGCGCTCACTCCTCCTCCTCCATCTTCTGAGTGTATCTCGCTACGCCGCGCGCTCCTTGGACGGCTGACGTCACGCGGACACGTGACAGGTACCCGAGCGCAGGCAAGTCCTCCTCCGTCAGTCCGGAGTGGTAGCTCCATTATGAAAGACTTATCCTCCGCTGGGTCTGGAGCGGAGACGGCTGCTAGGTGCGCTCTTCAACCGGCCAAGGGATCCTTCCCCTCACGAGACATCCCCAATAGATGGCTGAAAGCCCCGGTGGAGACCTGCCTGTGTCTGCGCGGTGAAGAGAATGGTGAGGAGGCGAAGAGCGCAGGCCCCGGGCTACCCGGCCACTGCGTGCAGCACACCGGGCGCTGTGCCGGACAGGGGGTGGAGAGGGGGCGGGGTCAGACATGTGACATGGTCTTAAAATTGAGAGGGGTCACCCGGGCAGAGAAAGGGGGAGCGGTATGAACCTTCTATATGTACAGGCCATGCTTGCCATGCAGTCCCTGTGTGCTGTCTGCATTGCAATGGCAGCGCAGTCTGTGTGTGTTATTTATATATCTATAATATGCAATATTGTTGCCATGGCATGTGTACAGAGGTTGGAGCCCACAGTGGCACACATTACTGTCCTGTGGAAATTTGTAGTCAGTATCCTCCTGTGTGCTCCTCTATGATAAAGTTCAGTGTCATGTCTACTGAAGTCTCTGCCTACTCCTTGGAGCTGCTGTTCCCCAGGTCCTTCCTATAAGGGCTAATGCTCACTGTGTTTAGATCTGTACTCCTCTTGTCCACCCACGTTGTGGCATTTAGATCTGTGAACTAAAGCATTGTTTGGGAGGGCGGGCCTAAAAATGATGCCCCAAACCTGCGTTCTGACCTGAGTGTACTGGCGTCATTTACATCCATACGTACACGGGTGCACACATGTAAATTGATTCTAGTGGCAAGAATAAAGCAACGTTGTAGCCAGCAGAATGACTTTAACCGCGTATGCTTCTGTACGCTGTGTGCGCATACTTTTCATGTGAGTTTCACACTGGCCGCCAGATCCGATATAGACATAATTATTTCAAGAAGAACAGCGGGCAAAACTCATTAACCCTTGTGGTGGGGCTACCCCTGTGCTGCAAGGGTTAACTCCTCGTTTTGGTCTTGGTTCAAAAATAACAAAAGCTCCAAGACAGCCGGCTGTCACAGTGCTCCCTCCAGCCTGTCTCCTCTTACTCTGCAGCATTGGATTGTTCCTCAGCTACTACTACACTGTATAGAACGTTATGATTTACTGGACCTTAGACCATTGCAGAGGAGGGGGAGAGGCTCCAGGGACCGGTCTAAGAACAAACCGGCTGGGAACATCGGGTGAGTATAACTTTTTTAGCAGCTAGGAAAAAAAGGAGCAGTTAACCCTTGCAGTGCGGGGGTAGCTGCTCCACTGGAAGGGTTAATAAAAGTTTTGCCTAGAGTTCTTTTATTGCGCTCGTGTCCAGCAGCCTGGAGATTTGTGTGTCACTAGGCTCTCCTAGATGTCACGTGATCCATGGCATTTATTGCACTGCTCTCTGATGTTGGTAGAGGTGGTTTTTGAAGTTACTTTGAGAATGTGATTGATTTGTCTTCATATTGTGATGTGTAAATGATTAAATATCAAAGCACATGGAAGGGTGCAGCGGTATAGCGCAGCAAGAAAGAACAGTGAGATAAAATGACTCGCTGGCAGATTCCAATTCTGGCACCGCAAGCATGTAGGTGGAGACGTAGCAGGACCAGGAACCGGTGCTTGTGGCCACCAGTATCGGTGTCAAGCTGGAGTGTGGATGACGGAGTCCCCCCTTCTGGGCTATTCTATTCTGACAGCAGAGGGTGTGCCATTGTCAGAATAATCAAACAGCTGATTGGCTGCTGTCACTGTTTGGGTGAAACTTTTTGGCTTGGCTACTGGGCAAGCAGGGTACTGACAGGGCCACACACTGAATTTCAGGTAAGTCAGCCGACACACTAAATAGCTTGTGTGTAAAATTTCTGAACGGCATTCCTGCCAGTAGATGGCGCTGAGGCGCATAGGAATTTCCTGTGTTCCTCAGTGCTGTGATGCTGTGCAAACAGCATTGCATTCACCCTCCTTTACGCTAGGCAGAAGATTTATACATAAAGTTGAAGTGAGGTCTATTTTTTTTTTTCTATTTTTGCGTCTCTTCTGCAGTAGGAGCTTCTTCGCCTGTCGGTACTCGAATGCGCATATATGTGCGCGCTTGGCAGGATTCTGGTTGGAATGAAGTCAGTTCTGTGCGTATGCGCAGCAGCTGCTTCACCCGGACCTGGCCAGTCAAGCAACTGAATGAAAGAAGACCAGGACAAAGATAAGAGTGCAAACTTTGCAGTGCTGGAGGGGATGACTTTGTCAGGTAAGACTGACATAATGTGCTAATATGCTGTACAAGATTGCACATTCTAGCTAAAAACTCCCTGGGGCACGTGTTTTCTCTTTACTTTTTATCAATCCGCTCCAGCTGGTTACCAATGCTGGTGGTCATAAGAGGCAGTTCCTGGTCATATGTCTAGATCTGCATGCTAACTGTGCAAGGATTTTATTCAGTGAGTGTGCTATCTTTTATTTATATATATATATATAT